GACAACTTGACTGGTTCTGAAGGACCCCCACACAAGGATCTCAGTCCCACACATGGAAGATGGCTCTGGCTCTCAGCCAGAGGCCTCGGTTCTGCCCAGTGAAGCCTTCTCCTTTGTAGTGCAGTGGTGTGGGCTGATTCTCCCAGAGCAAGTGAACAGAGGAAGCTGATGCTACCTAATTTTTATATAGAAATGTATAATTTAAAAATGCAGGCTGGGTATGGTGTGTTTTACATTCATTAAATATACAAGGAAGTTTCTGTAACTTCCCAGGGCATGCTGGTCAAATCTGGAAGTCTAATTAGGGGATTCCCCAGCCTCAGAGCCCCACAGGTCAGTAGTGTGGGAACAGAGTGCTCAGGCTCACAGTACAGCATTGTGGTTCATGTCCACCTTGCAGGTGGTTCTTCCTCTCCATCAGACGTCTTCAACGTGGTGGGGGTGGGGTGGCTTTTTCCAGGCTTTTAGAGATTTTTATTTTTAGAAGATTTTTAATTTTTGGTAGTTGTTTCTCCCTCTCCCGCACATCCTCTGTGTTTGTGCAGGTACACAAGCCATGTAAGCACTGGTTTGCTTGAAGCCATGAGAGAACAGATGCCCTGGAGCTGGCCTTACAGGTGGATGGTGGTAAACTGCCCAACATAGGTCTTGGGAGCTGAGCTTGGGTCCTCCTCCAGTCTGCTGGAAGATCAGCTGATTCTTTTAACTGCTGAGTCATCTTTCCTGTCATGATGATGTCATTATTGAAAGGTTGTAGGTTTGGGGTCAAGGGAACACTGAGGTGGATTGTCATTTTAGAATAAGAAGTTCATTAGAAGAGTTATTAATGTCATAGATAGACCACAGTGTAGCAGAGGCTGTAGGAGAGATCAAGCCCACAGGCAGAACAAGGAGAACTACTTCTATCCTCCTCCTCTTCTCCTTCTTCTTGTCCTCCTTCTCCCTCCTCCTCCTTGTTTTTTTTTTTGACCCAGGTTTTCTCTGTGTAGCCCTGGCTGTCCTGAAACTTAAGTTGTAGACCAGGCTGTCCTCAAACTCAGAGATCTGTCTGCTTCTGCCTGGGGTTCTGGGGTTAGAAGCATGTGCCATAAAACAATCTGTTGTGTGATTGTTAGTGTTAACTCTAATGAAGATTTTTTACTGCAAATGAACAAGCTGTGTCTTAGTTAGGGTTTCTATTGCTGTGAAGAGATACAGCAACTCTTATAAAGGAAAATATTTTATTGGGCCTGGCTTACAGTTTCAGAGGCTTAGTCCCTTATCATCATGGCAGGTAGCATGGCAGCATGTAGGCTGAGAGTTCTATATCTTGATCTGCAGGCAGCAAAAGAGGCCTGTGTCCCATATTGGGCATAGCTTGAGCATATGGGACCTCAAAGCCCACCTCCACAGTGACACACTTCCTCCAACAAGGCCACATCTCCTAATAGTGCCACTGCCTATGAGCCATGCATTCAAACACATGAGTCTATGGGACCATGTCTATTCAAACCACCACACTGAGCAAATAAAAATACAAAATACACAGACTGAAGAGAACAGGGGTGCCAGGAAGTGGAATGGAGCTAAGTCTTATGTTCAAGGAGATAAACAGATTAAAGAAGAGCTGGTGTTAAATGTAATAAAGGGAGTGGTGACCTCAGGACAAAACCCCATCCAATAAGCTCCAAATTTATGAAAAAAGAATTAAAGAAAAGCTTAGAGCCAGGTGTGGTGGTGCACACCTTTAATCTCAACACTCAGAAGGCATGGACTGGTGGGTCTCTAAGTTAAAGGCAAGGACAATCTACAGGTTGAGTTCCAGGATAGCCCAATTTAGGCAGTGAATGAAACCATTGAAAACCAAAAGTTGGTGAAGATGTAATTGAAAGAGGGGGCAATATTCCAGCTCCAGAAAGCAGCAGAACTTGGCATTTACAGCCATGTGGCTCTGGCTTTAGAGTTAAGGATAGAAGAAAGAGGTTATGGAATCTCCCTCCACAACTAAGGAAAGCCACTGAGGCCAGGCTTATGGCAGGGGTATCTCTGCTTGAAGGCCTAGAGAGGCCATTGTGTGAAGCTGTGAAGGTGAAGCCTGGATTGCCTTGGAGACTCCAAGATGTTAGCGATGCCAGAGCTGTGGGATACCTGTCAAGGAAATCTGCTAACAGGGAGTGAAACCAGCCCAAGAAAAAGAAGTGTGTTGCAGTCAACAAAGCTGAAAGAAGCTGGAGATCTGAAAAGCATAATGACATCAGACATGGAGATGCAGAATTTGGAGTTTGCCCAGCTAGTTTATGGACTTGCTTTGGTCCACTATTTCCATACTATCCTCTCTTTACTCCATTTTGAAATAGTAATGTATATCCCATGCCATTAAGTGTTGATAGTGTGTGATTTGCTTTTTCATTTTGATTTTACAGGGGGTTACAGTTAAGAGATTGCATGAATCTCAGAAGAGACACTGAACTCTGGACTTGTAAACAAGGTTGAGAGTGTTATAGACTATGAGACTTTTGAAGTTGGACTGAATGCATTTCTGCATTATGTTATGGTTACAAGCTCATGGAGGCCAGGGAGGTTTGAATAGGATTGGGCCCCATAGACTCAGGTGTTTGAATGCTTTGTCCATAGTGAGTGATACTATTAGGAGGTGTGGCCTTGTTGGAGTAGGTGTGGCCTTCTTGGAGAAAGTGTGTCACTGTGGAGGTGGGCTTTGAGGTTTTATAAGCTCAAGTCTGGTCAGTGGGACAGACAGTTGTCCTTCTGCTGCCCGTGGACCAGCACCATGTCTGCCTGTATGCCACCATGTCCCGCCATTATGATAAGGGACTCAACCTCTGAAACTGTAAGCCAGCCACAATGAAAATGCTTTCCTTTATAAGAGTTGCTGTGGTCATGGTGTCTCTTAACCGAGTATGACTTTGAGCTACTGATCTTATCACCTCGACCTCCCAAGCATTGGGGTTACAAGCATGCTCCCCCACAAATCTGAACACACCTCTGTTCCAGGAAGCCAGGCTTGGGGGCTACCAGACTCATCACTGGAGGGAATGATGAGCCCTCAGTTATAGGTTCTGCTTCCCCAACTTTGTCTCTTCTCTGGACCTGTGATCATTGTGTTATTTCTGCTCTCAGTGACAAGGTCTACAAGAAAAGTCCCCTGACAACTTTTTCTCAGCACACTAATTGTCCAAGTTAACTGAGTTTCCAGAGCCTGCCCCAGGATGCTGCCGGAAGTGACTGGAAGGAAAGTTGTCCTGGACTCCCTACAGGGGTTGGGGCCCAGGACACCGAGAGTTAAAATGGGAGGACTTGAGATGACGCACCCGACTCTGCCTTTGTTCCAGCAGCAACAACAGCAGAGCCCTGCGGGGGCTAGTGTCCAGAAGAAAAGTTCTGCATGCCAATACAATTCAGAGACCCCTTTCTTTTAAAGTTCGAAGCTCGGTGTGGTGGCTTTTGCCTCTAATTCCAGAATCTGAGAGGCTGAGGCAGGAGAATTGCCAGAAAGTTAAGGCAAGCCTGGGTTACATGTAATGAGTTCCAGGCTAGCCTGGGAAAGAAAAGCAAAATAAACAAAAACACAAGGTGGAAAGGAATGGAGGGACTTCTCAACACACGGCCACAACCACCTTTAGAGCAGGAGAGAAGAATATTTGAAGAGATACAGGTGCATCTTTGTTTGAAGAGAACTGACGGCATGCACACACAGAATGGGAGACAAAGGGGCTGAGAGCTGAGGTAGGTAGGTGGGCAGAACTGCAGCAGGAATTCAAGTTATTTGTAGTTAATGAAATATTTATGGCACATACTAATCTTCATTGTTATGTATTCAACTCCCCCAAATTGCACACAGCAGCTGTAGAGAAAAGGGGAGGCAATTATCTAATTTTTCCATGAGCGACATGCAATAGCAGTAAGGAAAGACTGTGAACACAGGAAAGATGGACCAGACCAACCGAAATGACTCTGTAGAGAGAAAGGAAGACTGGGAGACACTGGCATGACAGGAAACTAAGAATGTTTATAAATGACCCCAAATCCAGTGAAAGAGCAAAACAGAAAGCTTTGCCGAAACCGTCAGCTGGGTCTGGATGGGCACCCCTACCTGCAGTCTCTACTCGAACAATCAGCCTGTGGACTATCTTAAAAGAGATGTGCTTTAGTTTGTAAAAGTGGAGTAGAAATATATAAAGTATTAGTTCCCCCCCCCCCAAAAAAAAAGCACAAGAAAAGTAAGCTTTCAATAGAATTATCTCCAGGTAATGGACATCTCTGCCATAGTTGTGTGTACAAGAAAGAACTCCAGCCGGGCAGTGATGGCACACACCTTTAATCCCAGAACTTGAGAGGCAGAGGCAAGTAGATCTCTGTGAGTTTGAGGCTAGACTGGTAGACAGAGTGAATTTCAGGACAGCCAGGGCTGTTACACAGAGAAATCAAAAGAAAGAGGGAGAGGAGAGGGAGGGAAGGAGGAAGGAAGGAAGGAGAGAAAGAAAGAAAGGAAGGAATGAAGAAAGGAAAGAAGGAAGGAAGGAAGGAAAAGGAAGGAAGGAAAAGGAAGGAAGGAAAAGGAAGGAAGGAAGGAAGGAAGGAAGGAAGGAAGGAAGGAAGGAAGGAAGGAAGGGCTCCCTTCAAGGCCCCCTGATTTCATTAAAGTTTAACTGTCTCCATTTTGATTCTGACAGCAGTCATAGTTGATATGCTGTCCAAATCAACTATGCCCTGTTGCTTTTCTGGTTTGTTCTATCAATGATTGAGATTGAAAGCATTTGCATGTGATCATGGATGTGGCTGTCATTCCTTATTACTATTTTATATATATATATATATATATATATATATATATATATATATATATATATATATATATATCATGTTTTGAAGCTGTGCTATTAGTAGTATACTATGGGTTTATTTTAGTTTTTAGAGAGGGTTTTTTTTTTTTTTTTTGGTTTTTTCGAGACAGGGTTTCTCTGTGTAGCTTTGCGCCTTTTCCTGGAACTCACTTGGTAGCCCAGGCTGGCCTCGAACTCACAGAGATCCGCCTGCCTCTGCCTCCCGAGTGCTGGGATTAAAGGCGTGCGCCACCACCGCCCGGCTAGAGAGGGTTTTGAATTAAAAAAAAAGAAAGAAAAGGAAGAAATATGACTTGACCTAGGTATGGTGGAGGCAATGGCTTCTTGTAGGTATGTGGGAAGGCATAGCCAGTGTCGGGGACAGGGACATCTGGAGAGTCCAGAGTGGTTGTGATCCCCAGCCATGTAGGGAGAAGAGGAGGGAAGGGAGAAGAAAGAGAGGGGACCGGGTGCAGCAGCCAGGAGGCCCACAGCTACCACGAGAGCAGGCAACCGAAATGGCTGGGCTCTATAGGGAAGAGCAGCCAGCCCCTGGGCTGGAGAAGTTTAGGGTAGAGGGCAGGGTATGCCATCCAGAAGGGCCCTGAAAGAGGTAGGGACTGAGGGATGCAGGAAGAACCTGGAGGCCAGCACCCACTTTGATATTTTAAACAGGCACCTCAGCCTTTTGTCTCGATTTAAAACCAAAAAGGTTTTCCTATATAGTCCTAGGTGGCCTCCATCTCATAGACATCCACTGTCTCCGCCTCTCCATTGCTGGGAATGAAAGGCGTGCCCTACCACACCCAGCCAAGTTTATTTTGATGAAATTGTCCTCTTTATTATCACTGGCAATGTTCTTTATCCCACATCTGCTTCGATTTTAAAATTGACTTAAGTCTTTTTTTGACTATTGTGAGAATGAGTCACTTTGATATGCTAGAGTACTTACCTTTAACATATTTTCTGTAGTTAACATGTTGCTGGGTCTGCTTGTTTTCAAACCTAATCTGACAATCTATACTTTAGGTTTAGATCATTTATAATACATTTAAGTCGATTAGTGGTATTACAAGGATCTTCTATTCCCTTGACATTTGTTTTCTATCACGTTCTGGAATAAAAAGAAGTTTGTGTAACTGTAAGAAACAACAAAAGAGATTTTGAAAGTTCAATAATGTCATACTACAACAAAAGTGGGTTTTTCCTACAAAAGCTAAACGTACTTTTTTTGTTTAGGATATTTTCACGTGATAGTCATGATATATGACTGTCTAATGGAACGTTCTGTCCATACAAATCGATGTGGTCCTCAGTCACATTTTCCTATCTAGAAAACAGGGTCATCTGGCTCTCCGAAGTCTCTGATGTAACCTGCCCGTCCTCTCCTCGTTTAAAACCAACCAATTCTTTAGTTCAGTCTTTTGAAACTTATCATAGTCCCTACCATCGCACAGAGAGGTGGAATCCTTCTGCAGTGGGACTCAGGGAAAGCGTGATCAAAGCAGTTATGTCTCGATCTGATTTTATTCCAATTCTGCACTTTAAACATGGGTTCAGCCGGGCGTTGGTGGCTCACAACTTTAACTCCAGCACTCGGGTGGCAGCGGAAGGCCTGGTTTACAGAGTGAGTTCCAGGACACAGTGCTACACAGAGAAACCCTGTCTCGAAAAACCAAAACCCCAAACAAAACAAAATACCTAAACCCTTAGGCTCGTCTGTACATTCCATAGGAGCGAAAACACATTACCCGAAGAACCCGGAAGTACATTTGGAGAACACCCGGGAGCTTACGCTTTAAGCGCGCTTCCCTTTGGGAGCTCCCTCATACCACTGGGCGCAGCTCCCAGAGAGGTGGTCTAGGTTGTATGCTGGGATTTCTCTGAAGAGCTAGGCTTCCGGGGTGGGGTCTAGGGGGGGTGTGTCTGCACTGGATGACTGTATTTCCCAGGGGTCGCCGCGCCGGAAGTAACCGATCAACTTTCTGTGTCCTGGCGCTGCTACAGCGGAAGGTCAGAGGCTTCTAGTTGGAGGAAGAAATCGCTGGCGAAATTCTCCACTGAGTAAGGTATGAGGCAGCGGGCTGGTTGTGGTGTGGGTGCATGGTGATATGTGTGAGTGTGTAGGGACGGCAGCGCGCGCGCGCGTGCGTGCGTGTCTGTGTGTACGTGCGTGCGTGTGTGTACACCTCGAGCACTCTGCGTTGTCTGGGTCACTGTGCTAGCCTCTTTCTGCTCCTGCTTTCTCTCACGGCCACAGGGGCTGAAGCAGAGGACCAGGCTTCAGTACCGAGAGGTCAGGGACGGAGTCTGAGGGAAGCTTTCCCTGAGGTCCAGACTTGAGCTCGGGGCGAGCATTTGAGGCCGGAAGCGCCCCCGAGGGTCGCCTAGGAGGGCAGCTGCTCGTTGAGTCCAGAACTTTCTGGGAGCTCTAGCCATCGTGGGTGTTGTGGGAAGTGAAGGAGAGTGCTCACTCGGATGCACAGCCTGGGATCTCCTGCTTGCTCGGGCTCCCGAGTCTGCCGCTATTCAAACGAGGGCCTGGAGAAGAGTGCGAACATTATTGCTACACATCTAAGATTCGAGAGTGAGTTTGCTCTTTGTTCGGTGTGAGGAACGAGGTAGTAGTTTTGGAATATAGAATTGCAGTAAGTGAAGGAGGAATATGTCAATTGATACCTCCACCACTGTGGCCCTTAACTTACATTGTCCCCTCCCTTTCCACTTAATATTCACATAATCATTTCAGAGATCCTTGGTGTCTTCTCTCTACAATCACTCCATTTGCCCAAGATGTTATCGATAGGAACCTCCAGAGGTTAGCGTTAGGGCTTTCAAACCCCGATTTGGTAAATCGATAACTATTTCGATGATATCACACACCAGGTGGCTTTTGATTTTTAAAGGTCCCCTTTTCAAAGTAGGGGAAGAATGGAGGTGGTAGGCAATTTCTGTTCACTTCTGAGGATTTCAGGAGTGGGAAAGTGACCTTCGTACAATGGGTTGTCTGGGATTAGGACAGAATCGTCTTTGTGTAGACTCCTGTCTGCTTCTAATTTGTGTGTGGGAGGCTATGAGCAGTGGGAGAGGAGTGTGTGAGTGGGGATGCTTGAGATATAAAAGTAGTCGATGAAGTCATGCTGACCTAAGTCAGTCTGGGAACATCAAGTCACAATCCATTGAAAGACTTTCTTTTTGTTCCCCAGGGGAGGATCCTGAAGAAGAATGGCCAGCTCTAGTTCTCAAGACATGGTCTGTGTAAGTTGACCTTTGTCTCTTTACATAGGGTGACTTTCAGGTTAGGTGAGTCTTTGCTATCTTCTCTTGTGAAGCTTTCCAGGGACCTGAAGTCCTCCAGCCCAGTCTGCCCATTACAGTGAGGGTTGGAAGACCAGAGCACTTCCTGTCTGTGGCTCTTTCCTGCTGGTTCTGGAGTTTTCTTTGAATGCATCCCTGCACATCTGCTTTCTGCCTGGTCTGTGGTCAGGGAGGACTGTCGTTGCAGAGGAGGTGACAGTCCACAGGGAAGCAGGGTCTTTGGGGGTTCAGAACGTTGAGGTGATGGTCTCCTTTGACTGCACTGGGACTCCTGATTGACATCTTTGGTGTTTTCAGGCTGATGACACAGGGTTTGAGAGTGAATGGCCTCGGTGCATGTGTGTGAGATGACCTGCTTGAGGGGCTTTAAGAGAGAGTTCAGTGATGAGAGGGAAAGGTCATCCAGGCTGTGATTGGGAGGGGGCTGTCGTCTCCAGAGTCCAGGAAGACCTGAGATGTAGGTGCCATTTTGTTTTCTACTTTTTTGTTTTTTGAAGAGGGCATAAAAGGTTGAATCTAATATGCCAGTAATGTGGACTTTTATGTAGTTTATGGACTCTTACATAGTTTACAAAAGTCATTCTCGTGACAAAGAGTCTTACTGATATCATCTGATACCATAATAAACTCAAGGACTCACACTATTTCTTAGTATTTTACACTGAACCCTGGTGACGTTTCTCTCTTGTGGGCTATAACTTGAAGGGTGTGGATGGAATGGAAATGCACATTTATTAGATGCGTAGGGTGCGTACCGTCATCCTTTACTGGGGGAGCTCGTGCAGCCAGGTACTTTGAGCATTTCCATGTCTTCTTCCTGTTCTTGAGTCCTTTCCCCTCTGATTTTCCATCTTGAATTCTTCCCCAGTTTCACTCTACTTGTGTTTGTGGTTTCAGGGGTCAGTGACATTCAGGGATGTGGCTGTTGACTTCTCTCAGGAGGAGTGGGCCTGCCTGGATGCTACTCAGAGGGTCTTATACAGGGACTTGATGTTGGAGACCTACAGCAACCTCGTCACAGTGGGTAAGGCCATCTGTCCCCGTGAAAGGGGGATGTGCTCTCTACACTGTTGGCTTTCCTCACTCTGAATGAAAAGACAGGGCCATTTTCCTGTGGTAGCTGAAGCTGGTCTTGGTGGCCCATGGCTGTCATTCCTTCACTTAGAAGGCTGAGACTGAACAATCATTATGAGTTCAAGGTCACCCTCAGATACATAGTGAGTTCCAGGCTAGCCTAGTCTACAGGGTGAGGTATAGACATAATTTGGTGTTTAAGAGAACTGGCTGCACTAGCAGAGGACCCAGGCTCAATTCCCAACCCAACAAGGTAGCCCACAGCCATGTATAACTCCAGTTCCATGGATCTGATGCCCTCTTCTGGCCTCCATGGGCACTATGCATGCATGTGGTGCTCAAATGTACATGTAGACAGACACATGCGCATAAAATAAAAGAAATTTAAATCAGTAGAATTTTAAAGAGGAAGCTGAGTTCCTCCTTCTCCCAAAGGAATAATGTGAGATTTTTTTGGGTTGAAAACAGGAGGCCCATGGCACATCTGCCTTTTGTCCACACCTTGGAGATCCTCTCAGTGAGCTTTGGGTTCAGAGAGAGATGCTGTCTCAAAAACCAAGGTGGGGCTCAATTACACAATTACACAACACACCTTACACTGCTCTCTGACCCATACACACACATGCATGCTTACCCACACTTGTGTACACACCCTCATAAAAACATAAATACACTGTACATGCATGCATACACAAGTAAATAAGAGAGCCTTTATGATTTACTTACTAATGAATCAATAGAATCAATTCAAAACAGAAGTGGACACATTCTGTTTCCCTCAATGAACACTTCCTTTACCTGTTTTGTTGTGGAAGTTTCAGGCTGTGAATTTGTCATTTTCATTGAGCAAATCTGTAAGAATGAGGTCCAAATGTGAAAGAAGGCAACATAGTTAACAATGATGATAACAATTTTCATGGCTGGGGTTGTAACTCAATGGTAGAGCACTTGCCCAGCATACTCAAGGACCTAGTTCCATCTCCAGCATTACTAAGTAAAAAATGAAAACTAAAAAAAACCCACAATTTTGTGTTAGTATAGGTCAGATAGTATTCAAAGTGTTGAATATATTATTTTAGCTCAGTAGCAACCCTATCCAATAGATATCATCAACTCAATCCAAATTATTATTATTATTAATCGCTTTTTTGAGATCAGGTCTCATGTAGCTCATGCTAGCTTTGGACTTGCCTTGAAACTGAAGCTGGCCTTGGACTTCTCTGCCTGCTTTCCCTCCTCAGGTGTTATGATTACATTTGGGTGCCACCATTTCCAGTTTTTAGATGGAAAAACTGAGCATAGACTCTTACGGGACTTGCCTAAATAAATGGCGTTGTTGGTGAGCTGCAGAGAACAGTGTAGCCTAAGTTCACGTTCTCCCCCACTATATATACTTTCTTCTTACGTGATAAGCTCTTATCTACATTTAAATGAGATTAACCCCCCCTCCTTTTTTATTCATTTATTTTTTTCTGAGACAAGGGTCTTGCTATGCAGTGCAGGCTGGCAGGCTCATTCCCCCAGTTGCTGGGCTTACAAGCTGTATAGACCTTTGTTATAAATAAGTGTAGTTTTAAAAATCTGCACAGGCAGCTCATGGTGGTATACATTCTTAATCCCAGCATTTGGAAGGCAGAGGCAGGCATTTCAAGGTAAGTTCAAGGCCAGCCTGGTCTACATACCAAGTTCCAGGACATCCTGGAATAACATGAGAGACTGAGTCAAAAAAAAGAAAAAAAGAAAGAAAAAAGTCTCCACGTGTCATTTCTTCTTTCTTTTAAGTGGGAAGTTCCGTTTCCAAACCCGATCTGATCGCCTTATTAGAGCAGGAGAGAGAGCCCTGGATGGTTGTGAAGGAAGAAACAGACAGGCCCAGCCCAGGTGAGTAAGAGGAAGGCAGGTCTCCAGCATTGCCAGGCACAGCATGTGGTCGGAGAGTCGCCTCATGCCTGACACTGGGTTGACACACTTTCTTCAACTCGCCAAGGCCTGTGGAAGAACATGCCTGAGACCTGGGAAGGAAGTCAAGGTCATAGCAAAGGCTGTCACAGGACCTTCTAGTTCATGAGTCACTAAGTTGTTCTCACCTTCTTCCCTCTTACTGGAGCAGTTACCCTCCCTTTCTACCATTTTAAACATATCTTATTGGTTGTGTGTGTGCACACAGGTGTGCAGGTACCCAAAGAGGCCATAAGAGAATATCAGATCCCCTGGGGCTGGAGTACTAGAAACCAGGTCCTCTGGAAGAGCAGTCAGTGTCCTTAACCGCTGTTCCAATGATGAGACACTTTGAACACCAGTGAATTCAGGAGCACAGTGAGGCATAGCAAATATTTTAATTGTATATCTTCATAGTCACTCTAATCAAGGTGTGATGGTGTGGCCTATGCTTCTAACTGCAGCACTGGGGAAGTGGAAAAGGCTGATCTCTTGTCTTGCTAACAACTCGGCCTACTTTACCTGTCAAGCTCCAGGCAATGAGAGACCATGACTAAAAAAGAATAGGTAGAGAAGCCAATGAAACAACATGTGAGCGCACACAACACAGCCTTCTACCTAGCTTGGCATGGGGGCTGTGATGGCTCTTCTTGGTTGTCAACCTGACTACATCTGGAACTAACTAAAACCCAAGCAGCTGGGTACACCTGTGAGAGATTTTTCTTAAGTAAGTCATTTTAATTGGGAAGACCCACTTTTAATCCATTTCTTTTTGAAGGTAGAAGATCCACCTTAAATCTGGGCTCCACCATCTGATAGCAGCCTGTAAATAGCATGTGAAAGAAGGAAGCTCTTGCCTTTTGTCTGCTTCCTTCACTCTGCTGGCAAGTTCATTCCTTCACTGACATGAGAGCCTACTTCTTCAGATTCCAGCATGTATTGAAGACCAGCTGAGACATCCAGTCTCATGGAATGAACAACCCCTGGATTCTTAGACTTTGTGTTGTTAGACAGGCATTGTTGGCCTGGCTGGACCAGAGCCTGTAAGCCACGCTCATAAATCCCATATATATATATATAGAATGAACAGTTCTCTTCCTCCAGAGAACCCTGTCTAGTACAGGGGACATATCTGTAATACCAGGATTTGGGAGGTGGAAGCAGGAAGATCAGAACTTCAAGATTATCGATTATCCTCAGCTACATACTGAGTTTGAGACCAGCCTTGGCTATATGAGACCATCTCAAAACATAGAGGGGCTGGAGAGATGGTGCAGCGGTTAGGATCTCTTGCTGATCTTACAGAGGACCCAGGTTTTGCTTCCAGCACCCACTGGGTTTCCAACACCTACCTGTGTGGAGGTTTGCAGCTGCCTATAATGCCAATCCCAAAGGATGTGGTACTTTCTTTTGGCTTCCTTGGGCACCAGGCATGCAAATTATATACATACATACATGCAGGCACTCACAGAAACGCATAAAATGAAAATAAATGAGTGATTAAAACCAAAAAGTAAAAAACCCAACAAAATTACAACCTCAACAACAACCCCCTCCAAATAAAATGGCTTTAAAAATGTTGTTACCTGAATGTACTAATTAGAGACATTTTGCCTCTTGTACTGTTTATGTCTATAACTACATGTTGAAATACTTTTTGTTGAACTGTTGATGGTGATACTAAGAATTTCATGCCTCCCCTACTAAGATATTATCCATAGATAATCTTCCATCAATCCTAATTAATCTAACACAACCTTTTACTCTTGTACTAAGAACATTATCATCTCGGGAGGATCATCGGAAGAAGTTTTCTTTATGAATTTTCCATTTTAAATAACATTTGGGGATTGATTTTAGTTTTCTGGACATTTTAGTCTCTGACTTTTTGCCTGTATTTATTATTATGTCTCCTTAGTCTTCTTTTTCCCCTCCTTTTATTGAGAATGAATTTTTTTCCTCACATAATAAGTGCTGATTATGGCCTCTCCTCCCTTTACTCATCCTAGTTCCTCCCCACCTCCTTTCCCATCCAGATCCTGTCTCCTTAAAAATAGGCTTCTAAGGGAAAATAATAAGATAAGCTAAAACAGAAACTAGCACGTTGGAATTGGACAAAGCAGAAAGGACATCACACAAGGAAAGGCACACGACACAGAGACATATTTGTTTACACACTCATGAATCCCATAAAAATACTGAACTGGAGGCCATAATTAATTTATGCACCAAGGACCTGGTGCATTTTGGGTGAGTGCAGGCCCTGTGCGTGCTGCCTCTCTCTCTGGGATCATAAGAGCTTTGATCATGTTGATTAAGAGGCCCTTGTTTTCTAGTTTCTTCTATCTCTCTGGCTTTTACGCTGTTTCTTTCCATCTTCTCTTCCACAGGGTTCTCTGAGCTTTTATGGGAGAGATTGGATGGAAACATCCCTTTTAGGGCTGAGTATCCCAAGGTCTGATTCTCTGCATCGTGTCTGGCTGTGGGTCTCTGTATTTGTTCCCAGCTGCTGCATGAAGAAGCTCCTCTGATGATGGCTGAGCAAGACACTGATCTATAAATATAGCAGGATGCCGTTAGGACCCATTTCATTGCTATGTTTCTGCTTTTGCTTTTGTGTTTTTAGAACAGTAATATTTGGTTTGACCCTAGGTTCCTGGGCTGTCTAGTTTCAGGTTCCTGATCACTCAACCAGTGGTAGGACTAGGTTCCATCTTGTGGAGTAGACAAATCAAATCACATATTGATTCCTTACTCTCACAAACTTTGTGCCATCATGGCCATGGTATAACTTGCAGGAAAGACTACATTCAAGGGGTTTTGGCTGGCTTGGTGTTTAAGTTTCTCTTCTGGTAGTGTGCAGAATATCTTATTGTACCAAAGACACTGGAACATAGGGGTGGATGCTCTGTGTAGGCACCAGCTTGACTTTTCCATGTTCAATGAGTTATGTAACTATTGTCCTCAGCTGTGTGGACTTGCCATCAGTTTGTGGCAACACTCTGAGTTGTTTGGGGTTCCCATGGCACCCCTTTGGCCGACAACAGCTCAATTAGGTGACGTAAACCAACTCTGGCACTAGAAGCTTCATTTGATGACAAGAGATGGTTAGTTGGGACTCTGTCTCCCTCATTACTTGCTATTTCACTTCGGTAGTCTTCATATATGTGTATATTTTAGGAGGTTTCTACTGTATTAGATATCCATACTGCCTCTCAAATGGCCCTTAAGTTTCGGTATCTCTCCTCATATTTCCTCCCTTGTCCCCTTCTCCTCTCTCCTTCCCCATTGATCCTTTCATTCCAGCCTGTCATCCATCCATAGCTATTTTATTTGCCTTTTCTAATAAAATCTATGCTCCGCTTCCATCTCTAACTCTGTACCTAGTCCTGCAGTTCCATGTAGTGTAGCCTGATTATCATTGATTTAACAGCTAATATCATAGAAGTGAACGCATATCATACCCTGTCTTTCTGGATCTATGATATCCCACTCAAATATTCTGTTTTTTCCCTGTTCAGTCCATTTACTCATGATTTCTTTTTGTTTGTTCATTTGTTTGTTTGTCTTTTCGAGACAAGGTTTCTCTGTATAACAGTTCTGGCTGTCCTGGAACTCTCTTTGTAGACCAGGCTGGCCTCAAACTCACAGAGATCCACCTACCTCTGCCTCCCAAGTGCTGGGATTAAAGGTATATGCCACCACCACCTGGCCTGATTTCATTTTTTTAGTAGCTGAGTAATACTGCACTGTGTAAATGTACCACATTTTTATTATCCATACTTCTGTTGGGGGATATCTAGGTTGTTTCCAATTTCTGGCTATTAAAAATAGAGCAGCAATAAACATTGTTGAGTGCCTCTGTGGTAAGATGAAGAGTCCTTTGGATATATGTACGGTATAGCTTTTTCTTCTTGAGATAGATTGATTCTCACCTTCCTGAGGAACCACAATATAGATTTCCACAGTGGCTGTACAAGTTTGCACTTCCACCAGTAGTGGATGAGTGTTCCTCTTTCTCCACATATTCGCCCTCACCCTCATGAGTGGTCACCTGTTTTATTGATCTTAGCCACCCTGACGGGTGTAAGATCAAAGCTCAAAGTAATTTTAATTTGCATTTCCCTGATAGCCAAGGATGTTGAGCATTCCTTTAAGTGTTTCTCAGCCATTTAAGTTTCCTCTTTTGAGAATTCTCTGTTTAGATCTGCATCCCATTTTTTTTTTTTTTTTTTTTTTTTTTTGGTTTTTCGAGACAGGGTTTCTCTGTGTAGCTTTGCGCCTCTCCTGGAACTCACTTGGTAGCCCAGGCTGGCCTCGAACTCACAGAAATCCACCTGGCAATGCCTCCCGAGTGCTGGGATTAAAGTGCATCCCATTTTTTAATTGAATTATTTGCTTTCTTGATATCTAGTTTTTTGAGTTCTTTATGTATTTTTGATGTTAGCCCTCTATCAGTATGTGGTTGATGAAATCTTTTCCCATTCTGTAGGCTTGTGCCTTGTCCAAGTGACAGTGTCCTTTGATGTGTAGTAACTTTTCAGTTTCATAAGGCCCCATTTATTAATTGTTGATCTTTGTGCCTGTGCTAATAGTGTTCTATTCAGAAAGTCTTTTCCTGTGCTGATGAGTTCAAGGCCATACCCCACTTTCTCTTCTATCAGGTTCAGTGTATCTGGTTTAATAATAAGGTCTATGATCCATTTGGAGTTGAGTTTTGTGCAGGGTGATAATTATGGATCTGTTTGCATTCTTGTATATGCAGTTGTCTTTTTTGACCAGCACCATTTGGTAAAGATGCTGTCTTTTTTCCAGTGTGTATTTCTGGCTTCTTTATCAACAGTCAGGTGTCCATGAATGTGCGGATTGATGTCTGGGTCTTCAATTTAATCAACTTGTCTGTTTTTATGTCAATATCATATTATTATTATTATTATTACTAT